CTGTTTATAAGGACCATAACTATAATATATAATTTGATATAAGTTTAGTTAGTTGGGTCGTTATATAAGGTTTGTTTTGATTATAGGGCGAAATATATAGTAATGTTTAGTAAGGTTGTAGAGTGTAAGTAAGAGTTTAGTTCATTAGTTGTTTTTGATTCATATGTATTGATTAGTTTTTGTCTTAGGAATTTGTTTACGTTGATTGATTGTTTTTTTTTGCTTGTTTGTCTTTCCATACAGACTATTATTTTTTTTTTGACGAGTGGGGAGGGGAGGGGGGTGGATGGGGTGGTGTAGGTTGGGGGTGGTGTAGGTTGGGGGGTGGTAATGGATGGCGTATATTTTTTCCAGGGATAAACAAGACACTCGTACGTGACCTTTATGGGAAAAAATCTCCCAGACGTGTCACAGTATTAAAGGGACTCAGGTAGGAGACAGGTGTTAAAACTCAGGTGTGTCATAGGGTTTGGAGACAATTAGGCCTCCTCTCACCTGGACATACCCTTCTAGGACTCTACCTGTATACTGTATCTACCTAATTCCTGGAACCTTGTTGATCCATCTGTGTTTGATTTTTGGACGTAGGAGTAAGATTACAGATTAACTTTACGTAGTTTCATTACATTAAAGTTACCAGGTTTAATTTTTCTTGTGAGGTGTTGTGTTACCTCGCGGAGTCTTGTGATGCACTACGTTATAATTTTACTTAACTAATAACTTTAAAGTTAATTTGGGTTAATATGTTTTATTTTTCTTGGGGATTTAGAATACATCAGCTCATGGGGTCTCGCTTATCCCGGGGAAAACTCGCTGAGTGGGTTGGGTGAGCGCGGGAGGAGTCACGCTGCCGTCGCCAGTATGTCTGTGGCGTGGCGCCTGATGCCAGCCATCCAATCAAAATATTATCTCCTCTGGCAATGTTTATTGATTGACCAACTACCCTAATCCATTTTAACTTCTTGAATTAGCTGCGTCGTGTCGTTAAGTTCTAAAAGGAAGCTTTAATACAGTGAAGGAATCCTGTTGTTGAAATAAATAGAACGTCAGGTGCATGTACAGTAAGTAGGTGTGGAGGCTATTGGTGTGTGGAGGTGCGCATGAGCCGGAGAGTTACCCGCGTCCACTGGCCTCTGAGACACTGTCAGCAGTCTCCTAGAGGCAGAAGCAGACCGCCAAAGACACAGTTGGTTTAGGGGTCTAGAAGATCACCCTGGGACCTAGATACTGCTAGAATTAATGACTAGAAAAGTAGATGAATTGGTGTAACTCACTGATGGGTAGAAAAAGAAGTCCATGATAACAAACAGACAATACGTACTACGATTTGATGACAAAACTCAAGTTCAAGACATGACTGTGTCTTTGCAACTGCACTTCTGGCCACCACTGCAGTGCTACTACACACACTTCTATCGACAAGTGTGAGAAGACCGAAGAGTAGTATACTGTATTTTGTATTGACGGATAGAGTACTGTATTTATGTTGTAATATTGATGAATAAAAACAAGACCAGATAGATATATAAAATTCCAATATTATCACTACAATGACTCACTCGTATCAACAACATATATTTATAAAGTTACATTTCAATCTATGAACGACAGACAGAAGAGACAGGGATGAAGCAACATTCTAACCTTGACTGTTGGGTCATAAAGCAACGATGCATCAAGAAAAAAGCTTCTGGATCTAGAACCATCGTACCATTTATTTATATATTTATTTATTTATTTTTGCTGTAATTCATTATTCTTGGTGAAGTGTTCAGTTATGTTGGAGAGTAAATAACCTTTAAAATTATTATGTCATCCTTGAATGGCGTCTCGTGAGCAACAACACAGTGACGTCACCAACTCCGTCATGAGCGGGGGGAAAAAAGTGGAACAATTTGCTCGGTCGTTGAACTAATATCTCCGCCCCCACACACCAGCTGACTCTCGTTACTGTGCTGATTATATTTCACACTAGTCATGATTTTATATACACAAATATATCCCTGTATACAGTATATTATTACATACATACATATACGGTATATATTTGGATACGTGACACCCAAATAACATGCATAATAGCCACTAGCCTAACTTAAACTAGGAGCCCATTCTATAAGGCTCTCACTTGGCCACTCAAATACTCATGAGACATCCGACCCATTCTAACATTTTCAAGGAACATTCTTTAGTACCTAAATCCCAGAGACAACATTCACTCAACCTCACAAATCAACACGAGTTTCAAATTATAACACACTGTATACAAACTTTTCACATAACATACTTAGTTTATGAAGAGTTAAGTATATTAAATGAATATACCGTAGTTATATGCAGTTTTGACTCGTGTGTTGATGATGTTGTTAGTGAGCTTAGCGGCAGGTGTTAGGTTAGGTTATCTGAGACGTTTTTTAATGGTTTGTTGGTGATATTGCCCGTTCCTCACGTTTAGAGGCCTTGGGTTCGAGCCTTGTTTAGTGGAGGATGTGTGTGTGTGTGTGTGTGTGTGTGTGTGTGTGTTATGGTGACATGGTATTCTTTGTCATATAATATCATGGTAGTTAGGGCATCAATGGTGTGGATGATGGTGTGGTTGTGTTGGTTGGGGTCACAAGTATAGTGTGGCTTTTATCACTACTGATATGACTGTACAGGTTGAGTGGGAATGTGATGTCAAGGTGTGGTTGTCACGAGTTCACTGACTTGGTGAGAACATCCAATCATGGTGTGGCTGTGGATTGTGGGCATGGGATGGGTGAAGGGACAGATGGATGTGTGGACATGGTGTGGCTGCTGTGAGAGGAGACATGGAGGTGAAAGGGGTGTGTGGGCATGGTGTGGCCGCGGTGATGAAAGACACAGAGGTGGAGAGGTGTGGACATGGTGTGGTCGCGGTGAGGGGAGACACGGGGTGGCGCCAGAGAGCAACGTGGCTATCGACCGTCGCTAATTCCCCTCGGACCATCGCGCCAAAATAAGCGAAAATAGTCTTTTTTTATACCATGGTAACGATGATAATAATACCGCCATTATGTGGTGTAGGGGAGAGGTGAGGTCAGAGGTCAGGAGGAGGAGGGGAGAGGGGGAGAGGTCAGGGTGAGGAGGAGAGGGTGAAGGGAGAGGTCAGGAGTGGAGAGGAGGTCAGGGGAAAGGAGGTCAGGGGAGAGGTGGAGGGATGAAGGAGAGGTGAGGGTGAGGGGGGAGGTGAGGGGTGAGGGGAGAGGTGAGGTCAGGAGGAGGAGAGAGGGTGGAGAGGAGAGAGAGGTCAGGGGGAGAGGAGAGGTCAGGGTGAGGGGAGAGGTCAAGGTGAGGGGAGAGGTCAGGTAGGTCAGGGTGAGGGAGAAAGGTCACACACACACACACAGCCTCAGGGTGTTGGTGTCAGATAAAGGTATATTCTAACAATGCAAGTCACTGTTACTGAGAGATACTGAATAAACACAAAGACTTTCTTGACATGTTGATGGTCACTGTGTGTGTTGTGTGTGTGTGTGTGTGTGTTGTGTGTGTGTGTGTGTTTTAATTTTCTATTTTGATGTTCTTTTCTCACTTGTAATACACAGGTAAACGCTTTAGTGGGGGTGAGCCAGACGCTTGATTGCTTACGTGTGTTATTTGAAGTGGCAAGTATCCGCCGTCAGACTACTGCTACCAGGCCCACCAGCATCACCCAGCGTGCGGGGGTGTATAAACTTAATGAACTTTATATACGAAGGAAAGAGGAAGGGAAGGAGGGGAGGGAGGGATAGGAAGGAGGGAGGGTGGTTGGAGGATAGGAGGGAGGGTGGACAGGAAGGAGGAAGAATAGAAGGGTGTGATGGAGGGTAGTCGAGGGTGGATAGGAGAGTAACGAGGGAGAGAAGAAGAGGAGAGAGAAAGGAAGCAATTGCCATTCAGGAGCTGTTCTCGAGGCAAGAGCTTCTTCTCCTTCTTCGTGTTTATTCTCCACTCCACTTCCATCTCAGCTCAGGGTGAAACGGCAACTAGAATCGTAGGTGTTTCTCGTAGCAGATGACTCACTAGATTGCTTTCAGACTTTTGGCAATAGACTTTTGGCAATAGTCCTCTCTCTCTCTCTACCTTGGGGTAGGGGTGGGGGTGGTGGGTGGGTGATGGTGGGGGTGGGTGATGATGGAGGTACGTGATGGGGTGAGTGTCAGAGGATGGGTGATGGGGTGGATGATGGAGGTACGTGATGGGGTGAGTGATGGGTGATGGGGGTGGATGATGGAGGTACGTGATGGGGTGAGTGTCAGAGTGGTGGGTGATGGGGGTGGATGATGGAGGTACGTGATGGGGTGAGTGTCAGAGTGATGGGTGATGGGGGTGGATGATGGAGGTGCAGAAAAGTGACCTATCTGTTTTGGTGTTTTGATAGAATTTGTAATGAGAAGGAAGACTTGGTTGATGCCTAGTATAACCTTTCAGTAATATAAGTGTTTTCTATAAGTCTTTTCATATATTCCTCCATCCTAAACGACACAAGATTTATTATAAAATATTTGAATTGGGAACGAAGTGGTCCATTGGCCGAGTGGATATAACACTCACTAAAGTATACCAAGGGTCGCTGGTTCGATCCCCGGATACTTCTAGTCTACCTACCTGTAAATTTGCACCTAACTTTACAATTGATGGAGTGAAGGTTATCGAGTACAGTACTTTTCTTCTTGTGTATCAGAGATTTAGTATAATGTGTTGTATTTAAATTTATTTACCTGGTTTACCTGATAAGCATTAATAATTAAGAGATCTCATTTATCTTTCCTTATCTATCAACTAGAGTTCATTATAAACCATTACACATTCTCTTATTTAAACTGTAATTCATTTTGTATTCATATGGTTTAGAAGTTTAATATATTGTATCTCATTTTGTTTCACAGTAATGTATAATAATTGTTACAGAATGTCTTACGTTAAGTTGAATTTGTAATTTTACCTTTTTGCTGAGTTAAGATACTGAGTGGCTTATTAACACGACCGTTTACTTCCAGGTATAGACTTCAAGCAAAAAATAGTGAACTTAGACGGCGTTCCTATCAAGCTACAAATCTGGTACGTAACAGACAAAGAGACAGATAGACAGGCATGCAGACAGACAAAAGAGAGAGAGAGAGAGAGAGAGGGGTAAGGAGAGTGAGGGGAGAGAGAGTGGAGGGGGGGGGGGTGCAACATTATCTTTAAAGGTATTGAAGACTCTAGACCAGGTATGATGCTCCCGGGGTGATCAGCTGGTGTCTGAGAACTTAAGGAAACTCCCGCTGATGAAGGCTGTAGGTGAGTTACGGCAGAATTTAACCTCAGCTTACACTACCATGCAAGCTGCTGATGTTATGAAGTACAGATAACCTTAATGAAACTTACAAAACCAGCTTAGTAAGTTGTGTTAGGTGAAAATGAAGGAATGTATTGTGTATTTGTTACCTCTTGGGGGCCCTTTTTGTCCTCCTGGGCCCCTAAATGGGTTCTTCAGGTTTAGGGGTCCCTTGATCTTTTGAGGGGCCTTCCGGGACCATCAGCTTTGAGGCCTCTTAACCTTTTGGGGCCCTTGTATCTCCTCAGCCTACCCTCCCCTCCTCCCCCTCCCCCTCCTATCCTTGGACCCATTAGCTTTGAGTCCTTCAGATCGTAACCCCACTTTGCTTCCTGATGTGGTTGTCATTCTCTTCACTTCCTCTCTCTCTCCTCTTCCCCTCCTCTCTCCCGTTCCTCTTTCCCGTTCCTCTCTCCCGTTCCTCTCCCACTCCTCTCCTCTCCCCTCTCTCTCCCTCCCTTCCCCTCCTCTCTCCCGTTCCTCTCCCCCTCCTCTCCCCCTCCTCTCTCCCGTTCCTCTCCCACTCCTCTCCCTTTCCTCTCTCTCCCTTTCCTCTCTCTCCCTTTCCTCCTTCGTTAGGGCGTCTTAAACCAACCTCCAGGGCCACCAACACCAGCAGTAGTCTAAATACGCTAATTACCTCCCCGCTGTGCAAATCTCTCTCAGTCCTTTGGTTAGATTTATGAAGAGACCACAAGACCGAATTAAAATAGTCATAGACGTTGTATTAAAAAAAAATGAATAAAAGATTAAGAAAAAGACGAATGTTATGAGGGTGGATTTTTTTTATTATCGTTCAGTGGTGTTAAATGTTCTTGTATATGTGGTTACTGTTTGGATCGGTTAGTCTCCAGGTCTACACCACACACACACACAGGTAAGAGGGGGCGTCACTGGTCAACACTATACCTGGGTTACCTTCATGAGTTATGGACGTTCACCTTTCTCTCTACACCACTGGTCGGTAGTCTGATCTAGGTGAGAGTTGGAGGAAGGAAACCCGGATGTTAAAAAGTCTCAACAAAATCAATAGGATATAATGATAAACAAAACTTATGTCATGTAATAAAAAATAAAACATTAAGTCTGTTTACCATCCTTCTCTACCTCCTCTTCCTTCTCCACCTCTTCCTTCTCCCCTCTTCTTCTTCCCCTCCTCTTCTTCCCCTTTTCGTCTTACCTCTCCTCTTCCTCCTTATCAATAGCAAGTCTACGGATTTGGCGCACCCTCATTCAACTACCCTTCTCCTCTTCCCCCTCCTCCCCTCCTTCTCCTCCTCCCCTCCTTCTCCTCCTCCCCTCCTCCCTTCCTCCCTCTCCTCCTCCTCCTCCCTCTCCTCATCCTCCCCCCTCTCCCCCCCCCACGTTTCCTCACCCCTCCTCCCCCTTCTCATCTTCCCACACCAGACACCCGAAGTGTTATAACTTGGCCTCAGGGGAACGAGACTCTTAGGCTTCAATAAATCGATCCAGCTACTGAAGGAGGAGTACAGAGACGTTTAGAACACCTGTTTATATGATAAGAAACAGACAGATAAACGAACTCACAAACCTCAAGAAAATCATAATGTGACAAAAAAAAGTTTCGTCTTCCCAGGAAATATAAGATTAATAGATAATTCGATGTTAGCAGTTTATTATATTACAAATTATTTCATCAAAACTTCTGTATTACCAAGGTATATTTTATCATAGACGAGAGTTTTTACTTGTAGTGGACACGACGGCAGGAGAAGAACTGAAGTTAAGATGATGTGTTGTGTCGAGTATATTGTTCTCAAACGACCACTGACTCTACACGGTTTTGAATCAGGGACACAGCGGGGGAGGAACGGTTCAGGACGCTCACCACCGCTTACTACCGTGGTGCCCAGGGTATTGTTCTTGTTTATGATGTTACCAACCTCGACTCCTTCAACCACCTCTCCTATTGGCTGAGAAATATTGAAGAGGTGAGTATCTGCTGCTTTAATCATTTCACCAATTGATAATAAAAAAATAACCTTAACATAATTTTTGATAACTGGTAGAATTTCAAGTTATTTTTTCTAATTTCAACGCTGTGATATTTTTTCTATTAGTTTTTATGTCAGAGTTCTCTTATTGATGTTATTTAATCTCATATCTTCCTTCTATTTGTGTTGTTGTTTGTAAATAAAAGGCTTGTTATAGAATGCGTCGCCAGAGGTGGTGAAGGTGTTGGCAGGTAACAAGTGTGAGGTGAACAATCAGCAGCGGGCCGTTGATAAGGAGAGAGGGCAGAAGGTGGGTATGTTTGGCTCTGTTACACCTCTACCACCCCAGCCACACCTCTACCACCCCAGCCACACCTCTACCGCCCCAGCCACACCTCTATTACCACTACAATCCCAGACACAACCTCTACGACCACACTCCCAATCCAGCCACACCTTTACCATCACACTGCCACCCCAGCCACACCTCTACCACCACACTCCTCTACCACACCGTCATTACCCCCTTCCCATCAATGTGTTTTTAAATATATGAACATTTTGGAAAACTGTGGCTAAATGCTCCACAAGACTAGAGTGAATATTTTTGTTTTCCTTGACTCCTGCAAAATCAATATGAATACAATTACCGTTTACAATTAAGGTTTACAATTAATATTTACAATTAATATTCACAATTAAGGTTTACAATTAAGGCTCGCAATTAACTTTACTGTCTTAGCAATGTTATTAAAGAAAAATATGATTTTGAGTTCGTAACCGTTACAGTTGGCGGAGAGCTTTGATATGCCATTGTTCGAGGTGTCCTGTCGGGGAGACGTGATGGTTCAGGACACCTTCCTCACACTAGCTCGGCTCATAAGAGACTTGAGGCAAAGACGGGTATGTTTATTAACCTCTTACTCAACATTTTTTATCTTATGAGCTTCTCTAACGTTGTCTCTTGATTGTTTTCATGTAATTCATTATCCACTGTTTCAGGATGTTAGTTTTGGTGTAAAATGTATGTAATATAAGGCTGATTGTTTAATATCAATTATAATTATATGATATTTATTCATACAAATCATGAAATTATCTTTTACTTGTATTTATTCTGTATTTAAGCTCTCGTGATCTTTTTTTCTTTCCTTCCACACATTTAATTCTCTTTCACAGTTGTCTACGTAACAAATGTCCTTAACGGTTACCAGTTTAGCACCAGGAACAACATTCTTTCTATAACTTACTCGTTAATTTTCCCTGATTCGCCCGGATGGAGGGTAGGGCTAGTGCACGACCATTCCTCGGGGCCTAGGATACCCACCCGCAGCTCCCTACTAAATATCAGTTCTCTATCTTCAAAACTGTGGACATGGGTAAGGAACACACACACATACGACGCTGTGACTGCTTAAGAAAGATATAGCCTGTCAAGTGACGTTCTAAGCTGCCAGGGAGCGTGCCAAGGAAGCCTATAAAGTTTATTTTTTTATTTTTTATTTTATTTTTTTATTTTTTTTACGGGTATTAGCCCACCCGGGCACAGATCACTGACCCACATCGGGGCCTGGGGGGCGAAAATGTAATAATAATAATACTAATAATACTAATACTAATTCATAGTAAGTAGAATTTATAATAAAAAATACAAAATTATAAAATAATAATAACAAGACTGTAATGATAAAGAAATACAAAAATGAAAATAAAATAAAAAGTGAGAAACAATATATGTATGTTGTGTTGTCAATAGTAAGAGAAACAATTGAGACCCTGCAATTGTGTCTAAATGAGGCAGAAAGTCAGATCAGCAACCTGGGACTTGGTCACAATTTTCGTGATGCCATATGGCAGCAGGGTCTACCATTAGACAACACATTATGCCTCCAATATCTTCCTAGGCGGTAGTACCTCCCTGTTTTGTACCCACTATGCTGTATACAGTATGTTAAAATTTTGCCCCTCACGGTGTCAAGGTTTGTTCTCCCCACTAAAAACTTTCTTATACCGTGAAATAGAAATGTTATGAATACCTACAGTATAATAATCTGAGTGACCAAGTTGGTGTTGCCTTGTGTCAGGGTAATAAAAAGCTCTTACCTCACACTAGGACACTGTATCACCCATGTTCAGGGATAAATGCAGACCAACAATAGGCACAAACGGAAAAGATCCCTCACCGTAACTCAAGCCAACAATGACTTGTAGGCTGTCCCCACCCTCTTGTTTGTTATTGCCTCTGATGTAACTTAATATAGTATTGACTAGTTATGTACATCTAAATATAAAAAAATCGATTACAATTATTTTTTATTTAAGCATAGTAAAAAAAAAAAGTTATTTTGATAAATCACTTTACTAATTACTTTTTAGAAGATTTTATTTATATCGTAAACCCAAGAAGTGTTGCTAGGTTATATAATGAATTTTTTTTCGACAAACTAGAGTAATGAGAGGCGGGGGATGAGATAACCATTAGAAAGTATTGTACAAATTACCGGTAGATAGTTGGGTAGTTTTCTGCTGGGTGAAAGGTTTCAACCAATCACAAAGCTGCTATGTGTTGCCACATTTGATCTCTTTCTTTATGGTCTTGGCTCTCGGTCACAGTGTTCTCGGAAGGTGCGTGAGGGAAGCATGTGCGTTCGTGATGTGGCAATGCAATCGAAAGTTTTATTCGGGGATATTGTTGGAGATTTATATATAGCGAATACAGTGAATATAATGAATGAATCCCTAGCGTTAGATAACCCATTTAACATTTGTTGATGATAAGGGCATTGACGAAACAAGAAGCAATGTTCAAGGTTAAAAGAAAGCTTCCAACAGTAAGCCATGTTGGTCACGTGTGTACTGTGTACGTCAGAACATAATTCCTGGAGCACAGATCTTATATTTTTCCCGCGCTCTGGTGGATCCAAGAACAGGACCTGGAAATAGGTGAGTACAACATTGGAACCTGTCGTAGTGTGTCGGCCGTAGTTCGAGTGTTACAGCGTTTGACATTGTGAACATAGGTCTCTACATTGACCTTGGTTACAACCGACCCGCTTGGTCCGAGCCCACCACCACGTCCACAAAAAACGCAAAAATTACACCATGACGCTTCAAAAAGCTGCTTTAATTAGTACCAGATATCAAAATAAGTACTTCGTTTAATATGGGGCGGATCCCCCCGGCTAGGAAGTTAGGTAATGTTAGGTCGGTTTCTTTGGTTGGTTAGGTCAGATTCTATTAGGTAATAGGAACTGTCGCCTCTAAAATACTGTGATAAACAACCGTCCAACACTTCCTGGGTTAAAAAAAAATATATACTCGGTGAAAGAATGTTATAATGGAGTGTAATTTAAGGCATTAACAAGCAATTCCACTGATGACTTTGCCAAATTGCTACAAGCATCCGGTAACGTGTCTGAATGTAAAATTTTCCATGCTGGGCGTGTGGCACCTCGTAATGACCTACAGTATAAGAGGGCCTGGAAGCGGCTCGTGGTGCTTCAGCCTATAGATGAACTACTGTACTCCGTATAGAACAGCTTAACAACCCGAGCTGCTAGCATTTCCATTGTGACCTAAGTTAGCAAATCTCATCATACTGTAGATTGGGCGATGGAAAGTTTTTGGCAAAGGTGCGCTCTGAATGGGTTATTAAGAAGCAAAATGTACTCTTGTATTTAACGGGCGAGACTGGGAACTTGTCGAAGAACCAGATGCTGCTACATTATATAAAATGACCCAAACTAACCTACCTAACTCAGCCTATTGAAACATGAGCTTCACCGTAACATTATTCTTTGATTTAGGTTAAGTTAGGTAAGTTAGTTTGGTTCATTTTAAGAATGATAAATCATGTAATACAAGATTAACAAGCAAAATAATAAGTCTTAATACTAAAATAATATTAACTGTCAGGAATTTTGGAATATTGGTTTTTGGCATCACAAAAATTGTGACCAAGTCCCAGGTTGCTGATCTGACTTTCTGCCTCATTTGCATACAATTGCAGGGTCTCAATTGTTTCTCTTACTTTTGACAACACAACATACATATACAGTACTGTATTGTTTCTCACTATTGGTCATTTTTTTAATTTTGTATTTCTTTATGGTTCTTTATTATTATTATTATTATTATTATTATTATTATTATTATATTTTGAATTGAGTTTTTTATATTACAATTTATTTACTATGAATTAATAATAATAATTATTATTATTATTATTATTATTATTATTATTATTATTATTATTATTATTATTATTATTACGACTACATTTTCGCCCCCCAGGCCCCGCTGTGGGTCAGTGACCTGTGCCCGGGTGGGCTAATACCCGTAAAACAAAAAAAATGAACGGCCGACGTTGCATCCTGTCTCAATAATACATGGTATAACTCCAGTGTTCTCTTACACCACCATAAGATGTGGCCAAAACATTGTCCCAACTGAACTGTACCTGTGTATTAACACCAGTGACAACACACAGGCAGGTTTAGGCAGCCCTACCCTGAAATATAACACTGCATGTGTGTTTTTTTTAGCTCGGATGGTGAAATATAATTTTGGACCACTGGGCTGGTGTTGACTTTACGCCATGGTGGCTTCAATAGTTGTTGGGACGTTCATGCTTTTATTAAGTCTTGGTATAAACTTAAATGGACTTATTCTCGGTTCATAGAAGTTACTAGAACTAGTGGTTGGGAAGTCAACGGATAGTCTCCATCGCCCGAGGGATGATGAAGGTGTGACGGCTAAATTCGCAGGAAAATGTCTTGGGCCTAAAATTGATTTATCTGGTAAGCTATAAATTATATGACCCTGTGCTGTCAAAACGTTAGAGCAATAAACAGCTCCTGCTGTCTCCTTGGCTTCTTTCCACCATCTCTATTGCCATAATTGATTGTATTTGGTAAACTTATTATTTCATTACGAAGTACTGTACTGTCTTATTAAACATGGTAATTAAACAAGTCATTAGAACTTTAGAAGATAGGAATTTCACCTCCCGCTAATATGATTCCTTTCTTATTACTCATTCGAGCTGTACACTTAATATAAGCACATTGGTTTTTTTCGTCCGAATAGCTATTACAGGAACATAATATTATAATGAACTTAATACTGTATTCTAATACTCTATTTAGTATAAATGTTTGCAATTATATTTACCAATATCGCGATACTTTTTGCGACATTAACAACTCTTCTTTGGTAATGACGTTGGTGACAGGAGGGTATGCTAGTCCCCCTTCTGGTTAATGCTAAGCAGGAAAACTTTAGAACTAAATAGGCTTCTCTCGACAGGCGAGTTTGTTCGAGGAGCGAGAACGGCAGAACGAAAATGTCAAGTTGGAAGCGGACCAGAAGGGCGAAAATGGAGCTTCAGCCTGTGCGTCCTGCTGAGCCTTGAAACTGTGGGCGTGTTGCTAAGACACCTTCACGTTCACCCGTGTGTGTCCCCCCCCTCCCTCCCTGATACCTACACCTGTGTCCTGCTCAGCTTTCCACACCTACCATCATTGACCTGCACCTGTAATCTCACTTTTAAAAGCTGGGAGTAAAGAGCACTAACATGTATAGAAAGTGATCTCAATGGATGTTAAATTGTCTAAGAGGGAGATAGACTGTCCCCAAAATGTAGATAAGGAAATAAATAAGAAGGAAGATACGGAAATGTAAGAACGTGAAGAACGGACACAGAAGCAGCAATTAATATTAAGGTAAATGAAGACGGAATGACAGAATGCAATCAGTGTACCTCAAGTAGATTTATGACAATGAAAGAAACTTTGTTTTTAGTTTTAATCATAATTTCTCCGTGTAAATAAGCCTATAGGTGGTGTTTAAATGTTAATGGTAACACAAGCACTGCTTTTAAAAGATTTAGATGAATGTATGGGATGGAAGGGGTTTTAGACTGTCAAATATGTATTACAATATGTAGTCAGTACACGTTTCACTGGCTGCTAAATTTATAAATTGTAGACAGCACAGTATTGTCTCGTATGCGTGCATTATTCATTCCTTAAATTTTGTCACATGTGTTTACGACCACTGATGCAGAAAAACTTAAAATCGAATCTTTGAGCACCAAGCATATAGCGATTTCTTGCAAACTGTACAGGGGACGAGAAGCTACAATGGTAAAAGAAAATTACCAAATACCTTACCAGTTAGTTAAATTTCTTCTCCATTATATATCAAAGTTATCACATATAAACTTCATGATATAAGATATGTATATAAGATATGCTATATACATCTGTCTCTCCCCAGAAACTCCCTTGCTAATTTGACCATAGTATGCGAGAAGGTGTCGAGACGAACCACTGAGACGATTAAATAATAAGGAATCAAGAGGTGTTGTTGCCTACTCGTCACATCCTTCGCGTAGAACAGAAATAAAGATTGTTGGTACAGGTGTTGGTGGTGGACAGTGTTGATGGGCGGAGGCGAACATACACACGCTTACAGTTCAAGGCCCATTAACTTCAAGCATCCTGTAACCGATTCAGAAGTTCGTACGTTAATTACTAGACCACACACACTTCCCAGTCATTTAATATTTGAGACAGACATTGTGGCATCCAAAAGAAAAACCTAACTCAATAGTTTTTAAAATAATTTCATTTGGTTTATCACTTAATTAAAATTATAAGGCATGAGAGTGGTCACAGTAGTCTAGAATTCCCTGCGTTTGTAGCGTAGCAGAGCATTTATCTATATAGGTTTGGGAGGAAGGATGGTGAAGAGCTGGCAAATGTGTGTTTGTATACCAGTTCTACCTTAGTGTTAATCTCAAATGTTGAGGCTAATAATATATTTTTAAAAATATTTTCATTGTTTTTAATGCCATTTGTTTTTAATGTTATTAGCAATGCTATTGTTATTATTGTAATGAGATTATTACGGTTTATTTTGATTATTTTGTCGGCACTTTTGCATCTTCGTAACAATGCAATATGACTATAATTACATAAGGAGGGTTAAACAAAAGCAATTTATTTTTTCTCATACTCTTGGTGATCGAATGTGAACTTTGACATGGGCGTACTAAAATGTTTTCTTAAATCTGCTTATAAGAATATGGTAGAAATTTATTTCCCTTATCAAGATTAGCCATCCATCAGGTATTCACTAATTATAATTAATCACAAATTCAATGGAGGTTACCCATTATTACAACAGATAAAGTAACATGTGATAATAATACACAATTGTGAATAAATGTGAGAGGTGAGCCTGAGGGATGTGTTCAGCGTGTTTCCAGTATATCATTACAAAATTATATATAAGTACATTCCCAATTTTTAGGAAATGGAGTCGAGTGTAACAGTATAGCTTTAATGTTTCAGCACACTAAATTACGTTGTTTACATGCTTGTATAGACAGGTACTGTTTGTTAATTCATATTTGCCTCATTAGATATTAAGAAACATATGACTGCTTACTGACAGCATTTAAAGTGCACAAATGAATGTCTACTTAGCAACACATATAAGAGAAGACTTGCAGCATAGCTCCTCTCACTTTTAACTACACATTAAAATTTCCATCTCCATTCACTCAGCAATTACTATAAAGATCGCCGTTAACACTATTGGTTAATTTATGGCATATTTGATATGTGTAACTTCCGTTAATTTACAGCTGACAGTCTACTTTTTTCATTCACTGCATGTTGATGCATACATAATCTTCAATAAATACTTAAGTAATTGATACATTTCCACATAGTATAGTTGGTAAGGTCGTGTTGTAAGATCAAGCGAAGATTCGAGAGTCCAACAAGAATTACCGGTGTGTCGTAGTGTGAATTACTATGATTGGGTCGTGTGGCTCATGTCCCATACGCAGAAGTTTCAAGCTCTCATGAATACCCGGGATAGTCATACACACTATGACGATATGAGCAATACTGTCTGGAAATATTGCCACTTACTGTAATCGTGTTCTAGTATTCACAATAAGACGGCACTGCATGCTACCATGGTGATGCATAAGAGTATAGACATTTAAGGTGTGAGAGTTCCCATTTTCACGTGATTTATGTGTGCTGAATATAATCTCTTTTTTTGTATAATAATATAAAGGGTAAAATCATTTATATTATATTATTTTCAGGGAATATGTATACATATACTATACTATACGGAGGAGACATGGGTGGTCCGATCCAACCCAGGGAGGGATACAGTTCCAAAAATAATCTGCTTGAAATAGGCGGGTACTGGTATTTGCACTGTGAACCTGTTAAAATAAGAACTAAACCTATTGACAGTCAGTACAAAGACGTCATCTGTTAATGGCTTTAATAATTACAAATCAGGTTTTTATTAATGGACGTGTCTGTTGCTTTATTTTAATACTACGAGTACACGGCATCAGGCGACCTATGTTGTGGTTCACCAGGATCATAGTGTTATGTACAATAGGAGTTCAGTTGTTTTATTAAAAATAATATTGATAATGGGTTAAATTTGTTGTATTAGAAGAATATGAAGATATTTTTATTATGTACAGAATTTAAAATCTATTTCTTGTTTGAATGAATTCTAATGTATGTTAAACCCAGCCATGTACATTTACCGGTATTTTCTTTTTATGATGGTAAGGTGGACTAAGGATGATGCTGAGGTACCCTGCCAGAGGGAGTTTTATACGGTGTCGTGTGGACAAGAATATGTTTTTGTTGATAGGAAAATGCTCATGCTTAATGAAGATGAGAGAACTTTTTTAAAACCTCAAGTGAATTTTACATTTGTGGTGTCACAATGATAAGTTGTGGACTAATTGATTAGGCTACTCGTATACTTGAGGAGGGTTGGACACTTCTAATACACACTTAACAGAATCACTGAAAGCCTATTTCACTTCAGCTCTGAACTTCTCTTTGCATTGTACAATGCATTACGATTTTCTTTTGTATAAGATGGTATATTATACCTATGCTACTGTGCTTTCAATTTATTGTGCTGGAGTCTGGAATGCAACTGAATTTTTGAGACAATATTAATATAGTATTTTTACTATGTAATTTTTGGTGATGTAGTAGACGTGTCAGTAAAATGTAAAAACTGATTTACAACAGATGCATCAGTTGAGTCCTCCATAATATGATGTATGTCAGAGGGCTCAATAATGGTGCATTTCACAAACCTGTGCCCTTCTGAGAGGGACTCTTGTCTCATTGGAAGTCATTTCCCTTGCCTCATTTCCTTCCTGTACAGTACAGGATCGAATACCCTTGCCTCATTATATTCCTGCAGAGCAAAGGATGGGGAATCCTTGCCTCATTATAAACTCCTTACAAAATATATGTGATGTATTATTCCTGAAGTAAGTTAGCACATGTTCATTTCATTTCTGTGATATTTTTTTATATACAGTGTGACCCTGCTATAGAGCAACCTACTTAAAAGCAAATACTGTATGTTGCAGTCAGCACCCATTAAAGGTGAAAATATGAACCGGTAATAATTGCAACATCTTTTTGTAATTAATTAAAAGTGAAAATGCTTAACACTAGATCAATTATTAGGAGTGTTTTATCACACTAGTACAGTATAAGAGGAGGACTCCTGTACCCCTTCGTCGTGCACACATCCTCCTTCAGCACAAAGGGTCCCTGCTTCATTGTTGCCACTTAGTAGGGCAAGGTATATCTGTTCGATAAGTACAGTATTATGAATTAGAGCTTGTAAAGTGAATCTGTTAGCACTTAGTCATAAGCAAATGACAAGATATGTTAACTGTAGTGTACCCTGTACCAAAGATCATATACCGAAGTGGAACCGCCTTTGAGTAGAATTGACTTTAGCACAGTCCAACCAATTGGCAAATGGCTTGTTGCATTTAGATGTTATGTTATAAAACATGTTGTCATCCGTATCCGAATACTTTGGTTGTATTTTTATAAATAAAGTAATGTTTTGGAAATAAAACTGCTGTTAAATTTTAAGGAATTATAGTAACATTAGGTTTGAACAGATGTTTGTAATTAAAGTGAAATTTATATTCGTTTAGTTATGGTGATTAGTGCATGAAATTATGCACTGGTATTCGGTCAACATCCTTGTACATATATATCAGACAGGTTTGTTGAAAAGCCACCTGGAATGACGTCAACAGAGGCTTTCAACTCTGTAACCAGAAGGCAAATCCAGGACAAACTTGCTTAATGTTTTCTCCTGAGTTGTACAGTCCATCTTTTATATATATGATCTTTGCCTGTACTTATCAACTTATCTGAGTGTCTTATCAAGCTAACTTCCTCATGTAAAAGATGTTCATTTAATCTCATGATGTCATGGTGGATTTTATTTGTAATAAAATTTTGTCTTAATGACTTGAGGATATTTGAAGTGTTTCAGCTGCCTTGGACACTTAGAAATGGCATCACTCATGAGACAAGGGCAAACAGGTTTTGAGTTCCTTTATTTTTCTCCCAAGATATATAGATCTTAATAACTGTTTTTGTACCGACTGACCCAAGCATATTTGATACTGCACAAAAATCCTGTCACTGTGAAACTGAAAAAAAAAAAAATTGGTTGGGTCTCACAAATGAACAGTGTCATTTTACAATATTTTTTCCATTTTTATGTTTCCCAGTGTTAAGGTCAATTGTTTGTTCTTATCTAAATCTTAAATGGTTATGGATAACTGACAACATAAGATAAAAAAAATAGCAATAAATGAAATGCAAACTTTTTGTTTGGTTGAAATAATATAAATTAGTTATTCTTCTCCAGATAAAGTATAATTTCTGTTTGGCTCATTTCATATGGCCATAAATATTGTGACTAAAAAGATTCTTGGATTTATTTTCTTTATTTTTTCAATACTGTAGTCTGAAGCCACATCAAGTTTTATACCGTTAACCCCTAGGACCTACCACATAAATCTCAATAGTTTCAGAATATGTACAGTATCAGCAGTTCTTATTACCATGTCCTTGATTACTTCAGGCCCAAAATTTATAAAATCGTTATTATTTACACCTTGACAATCTGGGACCAAAATATTTCAATATTTTTTCTCTTGGATTAATGTTTCCAGCGCTGTAATATTGGGACGACATGAATCCTAGGAAATAATTTGTACGTCCAATAGTGTTACTCTTAATCGAAAACTAGAGTAGTATGAGCTACTGTAGATTAACAGGAATTTGTTGGGATTTATTCTGGTTTGAGTCTTGATTAATTAGGCTTTAATAACTTGTGCCATGGTTATCTAGGTTTTTGTTAGATGGTTTCTGCTTCTTTGAGAGCTGATCTGTTTCCTGAGTAGTTATGTAAGATTTGTTTGGGTGATTCCTAAATGTTTATGATTTTGTAGTTTGTGTTCCGCTCCTGTAGAATTGGTCATCTAGGTCTTGGTTAGGTTAAATTTGATTGTTTTGGACCTTAACTAGAGATGGTAATAAAGAGCATGGTAATTAACAGGAAATTAATTAGAGTAAAATTGTAATAGAGAACATGATAAGCATGAAAAAAGAAACGTATTTTCTAGACCCGTGTATGACTTACAGTATCGGTACAATACAGTACTGTAATTATCCAAGGACTTTTATACTGTATACCTTAGCCCTTTCTCCCCCTCTCCTCACTTGAGCTGGAATAGCCTCTTCAGGTTATGTAAACCTAGATTTTTTATCTAAGTATTTTATACCTAATATTCTCATATTTTTTCATTATAATAACTAATAAATTTAAGTTAGCAACCATACTGTGTTTTGGTTGTATATATTTACTAGAATGTAATTCAAGTGTCTACCATCACCATATGTTTGCTAAAATGATTATTAATCTGACACCCGTGACCCACAACAAGACAAAGAGCTAGGCATCTTCTAAATAAACGATATTGTTAAAATTCACTTTCACTCCATAACCATATTTTTATTTACTGACCGATGCTCCTTTGTCGGGAATACTATAGACCACCAAGAAATAACACCACCAGTTATACAGTACTATTTAATTTATACTTATTAAAGCTGTGTGAAGCAACTCGTCTCGTCCACTGACCCACCAAACTCATTCGCACTGTCCTTCAGATTTACAATTGCTGGAAAATTGTATCATTGCCATTTATTTTAGAATAACCCCTTTCTAGTATCACCATCTAGAATTTTAGTACAGTATTTCATTTTCAGTAAGCTAGGCCACTGAAGAGTGAGGGTAGTTAGCTAATTCATATAATTTAACATGTAACGAAGACTCGAGTTACCTCTTCCATATTTAGTCTGTCTAGTTTTGTTTTTCTTTACTTTTATTAAGTTAACAAAGGTCCTTTTCCATTTTCTTCTTGGTGGAGGAACTGACCGAAAATTTTTGGCTCATAGACTAGCAAAAGTTGACTGAAGTGAGGGAAAAAAATAGTGAGAAAAATATGCCAGAATTTCTAAATCACGATGAACAATATTGTATTGCTTAACCTGCAGTAAAATAGAGAGGTGATAGATATATAGCCCACCTTAAACTCCCGCTTGAGGCATGTACTAGGAGCTAACAGGTAGTTCTCTGAGCTAAACCAAGCCTTGGACATAAAAGACTTCTGAAAAGTTTAAGAATGAGAGGGCATAAACTCAAACTAGGAACTTATAATGTGAGGGCATCATTATGAAGGCGGGAAGTGTGCATGCTCTATGTTTGAAGGGAGAGGAAATGGTTGCAGTGGAACATTGAGGTTACGTGAGATAAGTAAGACAGGTCCAAACAGCAGTAGTGTGAGATCTTTTAAGTTTAGCCATTCAATGGATGTTTAATTATAATGGACCATTTTAATGCAATGGTCGGGAAGAGACCACGAGCACATCGGTTGGGTAATGAATATTAAAGAGGAGGAAAGTTGGTTAATTTAAAAAAAAAATTATAATTATTAAATGTACTGTACATGGTTTGAACATTACCCGAGGTATCATTATACGTGGACATATCTCCAGGATAATGAAAATACTATTGGCAGGAATCAGATAGATCGCAGTTTTATTTCAAGAAAAAAAAATCGGTATTTCAAACCAAGACCTACCGTAGGCTTCCCAGGGTCAGATCGTGGGCCAGACCATACCCCAGTACTGTAATGAGTTCAGCGAGGCTAAAACTTAACAGGTTAAAATGGAAAATGTTGGATATCTTACTGGAATTTAGAAAGCTGAAAACAGAAGCAGGGATATAAATTGATACAACAAACACACTGTATCACAATTGAGTGATTCAAAGTACTAATATGAGATTGGGACAGAGTGGGTGTCCAGGCTTTAACTTGACCAGACAGAACCTACTGCACTGTAAAGAAAACGGTATGGATTTTTGTTTAACTAATTATATTTAAAAAGTTGTCGACAAGAATTAATAAGAATACAGGAAGGTTTGAGATTTTGTTAAAAAAAAAAAAAGATATGCCATATGGCATCACAAAAATTGTGACCAAGTCCCAGGTTGCTGATCTGACTTTCTGCCTCATTTACACACAATTGCAGGGTCTCAAGTGTTTCTCTTACTTTAACAACACAACATACATATACATATATCATTAATCACTCTTGACTTTTTTATTTTTTTATTTATGGCTCTTTATTATTTTTATTATATATATTTTTATTAATTTGATTACTATTATTATTATTATTTTTTATTATACAGTACTGTAATTGTTACTTATTTGTATATATTTTTATTATTATTATTAATATTATTATTATTATTATAATTATAATAATTATAATTATTATTATTATTATTAATAATAATAATATTATTATTATTATTATTATTATTATTATTATTATTATTATTATTATTATTATTATTATTATTATTATTATTATATTTTCGCCCCCAGGCCTTGATTGTGGGTCATTAAAAACGACCTTTACCTGGGTGAGTACAAAAAAAACCTTTTACCTGGGTGAGTACAAAAAAAAATACAGATGGATTAAATACAGGAATAAAGAAAAAGACGATGGTGTGGAACCTTACAAAAGACAGATGATAAAGGTCCTGTTTTGGGCAGGAGTAAAGAGAAACGTGATCAGAGTACTGTACTGTATATAGACGGAATATACAATGATAATAAATTGAAGTTAATGAAGAAAAGGGAAATAAAACTCCAGCTACTGTAACATGCATGGGAACTAGTTGAAACAGCTGCTAACAAAAGAGAAATGATAAACACAAAAACTGGATAGAGGAAAAAAAAAAAAAAAAAATTATATATTGTTAAAAAAATGGGTTGTGAAAGTTATGGTAAATTTGTCAATGGATGAAATTGGGGGTCAGGGGGTGCCAAGGTGAGGCAGAAACCTGAGAGATGAATGAAAATTAAAAGTTGGGTACAGACGAGGAGGACTGGTAGAAGCAGGACCAAGAGGAATTAAAAGTTCGGTAGATTGTGTATTATAATATATTTGGAATTTCTTGAGATACATATCTGATGTATTGTCAAGAGATAAGTAACAATAACATCGAATAAAGTTTAAATTTACAACAACATAGAAGAGACACGGTAAATAAGATTCCATAAAAGTTGTTGTTGATTATCATTAAATAAAAGTCGAATACCAATCTGATAATTATTGGACTTGGAATTTTTTTAATTAATGTCGCTTTAATTGTATTACCTTTTCCTATACGTAAAAAATGCCACAATATATTAAGGCAATAATGAGTTGTTTTTTCTTCTAATTATTTCAAAGTTCAATACATACTGGTAGAATCACCGTAAGCAGGTATAATGATGTTAAACAACCAATATTCTTAACCTGTTTGTTCCTATAATAATATAATTTACTGATCCGTCCTGTCTTTGGCGTTTTACCAAATGTACTAAGAGCTGCAATTATTCAAGAGTCATGTAAGACCAAGTTTGTAAGAGTCCTTATCATATATACTCAGGAAGCCACATAACATATTCTATTCCACCACTAAACACACACACACACACACACACACACACAAGGAGGTATTTTTCACATAGATAACCAACTGTAAGTGAACATTACATTATAGAAATCGTAAACATTTCACCATGTTTAGACGAAAAGGAATCTATTTAGGACAATAAATCTAAAGCATTGAAAACCATATTTGGTGAATTTATATCATTTGGCAAAAGAGGAAGAGCTGGCAATTTTCTGTATATAGGTACAGTATTCTTATATATATATACAAGGATATTATCTTCATGGAAATAACAACCTTAACAGTACTGGAAGAACAAGCAATAGTAAAAACATTAAATAGACATCAGTATCCGGGCCATAGTACACAAAGGGCCGATGGCAATTACGTAGATGTGTTTGAGGTAAGGTAATGCTATCAGTGAGGTTTGTTGAAGGTGTCAGTGATGTAACTAATATCATCAGTTATGTATCCCATGTGCCGTGGCTGACATCAGATATTGTAACGATTATTATCAGGTTACTGGTAAACATCTGGGAGTTATAAGAGATGTAGAATGTCTCTTAACACCATTACACGCAGAAATAATCAAGTGCCTATTACTTCAGTCCCATTTGGATGATGCACAATCTACTATGATCCCACTCGAAAAAAAAAAATATTGTACTGTATTGCTATTTATTGTAATTGGCCCTTTCTTACACTCGGCCCATAGGTCATAGAACACCGTATATAAATCTACAATGTTACTAGTAATTGTGAACCTATCTGTTTGGCAATCTGTGTTTCAAAGGGTAAAATACATGAAGCAATCACATAAATCTTTGTTGATTATATGAGGATAGTTATAAATCCTTCAGTTCATGTAGTTGACTGAAGCCTCGTTAAAAAACAAAAGGAGTCTGGTAACCGAGAGTATTCATATGAAACTATATTATCTCACAAAGCACATCTACAGCAGTTTGGATTAGGATATAAACATTATCTGTTTGAGGTGGAAGGCACTGTTACACTAGGAAAAGTTTCTACAGTCATAACCAATAAAATATGACCTAAAAATTGCCCCATGATATAATCGATATGGAGATTCTTTACGTAAATATCTCGGAAACTCATCACCTGTTACTGAGAAATGTATTAGCACACCGATGATGGTTCCTTGGACCTGATATGTTCTCTGTACTGTATATAACTCACAGAATCATTGAGTTATGTGAAGTCACCCTTGGGCATTATATTTACAAGATTTCCTTTTATTTTGTGATTGAGCGCGAGTTCAAGATCAACCATCACCTAACTCAGCTTAGACTCTCGGGATGTTTCCTCGGTGGTAAGATGGTAACAATAATCTGAGAGGTTTTCTTATCACCGTAATGCAGAGTGGCAGCTTATGTTGTTATTGGTACATTATGACCATAACAATTGGTCGTATGTAGCCTTCATTATAAACTACAGCGACATTACCTAACATACTGTCTAAATCTCGCAACCAAATTTAATAAGTAATATTTCACTTGTGATCTTGACATTTGACCTTGACGGATTGCCTTGGGGCGCCTCGTGATGGTACATATATCCGGCTTAAACAAAGGGTAAGAGTTGGGACCTATAGATCAGGCCGAAAAGGTGGATAAACTAGTGATTCATACCACTCAGCATTTATTTTTACCAAGTCCTTGTACTGTAGTTTCACGAGAAGAGGAAAATGAGATGGGAGAATAGCGTCACGTATCTTCAGGTTCTTCAGAGTGATCGTCGTCGGGAGGTGTAGGAGGTGGTTGGTCACGGAGGGGCAATCTCTGGCAAAAGTCATACTTGGTGTGTTTTGAGATGAAGACCAAAAAATCTTGCTTCATACACCCGTAGCTGGCGAGGGGAAAACCCGCGTACAGCATCTGTGTCTTTTGGTATATCTGAAATTAAAACACATTAAATATTATCGATTTAATGTAGTTTACGTGATGTACAGTGTATAGAAACTACGGCCCCTATCTCTGGTGCCATTTTTCCTGGTAAAATCTTATTGTGAGTTGTAAAAAGTGATTTCTAAGATACATTAGTTACCCTGTGTTTCGTCGTGCTCTGTAGTGTTGACCAAAAGAGAAAACGTGAGGAATACAACACGTGGATTTAGTGACAGAGTGCTGGAAAGTGTCCATACAAAACAGAGGTAGCTGGCAGCAGTCTGTATAGAGATGTGTGTTTGTTAGGTTAAACCCCTCACTACGGAACGCTACAGTTAAGGGGTTAACAGTGAAAAGTGAGAGAATATTGGTCAGTCAGTCAGTGTTGCGATTGGGGGAATGCCGCCAATGTTGACGACTACAGTAAATGAAAGGATTGGACTCCAGTGTCGACGGTGTGTGAACAGTAAGAATATTACAGATTTTTCTCAGAAGACAGTGGAAAAAAATGTAAGAGAAGTAATATTAAAGGCATGCGGGTAAAGAAAACAGTTATGCTACAGTTGTTTAGTGTAATTATATTTTAAGTCTGTATCGTAAGTGACAAAATAGATAAGTTCATGACATTTGTAGGTGAAACAACTGCAGCAAATATTAAAATTAATGGAAACATTTAGATGGACGTTGTGTTTTCAGTGTTTGTGTTGTTTAGATTGACATTGTTACTAATTAATTTTTCTCTCGTTTACAAAGGTTTGTGATTATATCAAGTTAATTTTATATGCAAAGCTATAAAAAATTCGAATTACCCAGATTATTTATATTAGTGTTTGATAGGGTTAGTCAGTTTAAGCCAGATATTAAGTTCCTTCGCATGCAATATATATTCCCACCTTATACCCTGTGAAATGTAAATAGTGAGAGGATACAATCTTTTTTGCATAATGAGGAGGTAGTCAAAACTCACCAGCACCATGCCCACCCTAATCTGTCCCCCGTTGAGGATGGTGGGTTGGGCTCCCCGCCTCTCCTTTCGCTTGCCTTTGGTCTTGGCCACGTCGTACTTGATGAAGGCTAGGGATGGTTCGCTGGGGCTCTGCAGGCATGGCCGAAGGCCAGGCAGGTTCAGGGCTGTGTACACCGCCTGGATCAGGGACTCGCCACCCACCACTACCGACCTCTGGCTGGTGCGTGGCGTAAGGGAGTTAGTGTGGCCATGTTATAGATAACTTTGCTACTGGATATATAATGAAGAACCTTAAGGGGTAAGTCAGTAACAATCACACCATGACAGTATTCAGTAAAAAGTGTTTCGTAAGATGATGCATGTTGTATTGTTAGTTATAATACGGTATAGTTTCATATATAATTCATCCCTTCATAACTTAGGACCTCCCCCCTATCCCCAGCTGGATAAATAGGAATACGTCTCACTATCATTTATTGGTACAGCATAACCATGGCGGGATGTAGGTTTTGTTTGCTTACCTTTCACTGGAGTTGGTGACGACGAGGACGATGAAGCGGTGAGCAGGGGTGAGGGCGAGCAGAGGCAGTAACTCTCGCTCCGTGATGGTCGGCACTTGGTCCTGCAGACACATACACCGACCCCAATACGGCCGATCCACCAGCCGGCTCCTGAGGGCAGCCAAGGAAGGCGAAGACATCCGGCCTCCACGACCACTCCTGTAGGAAGAAGTCTCAGGGATAGTAACTACGACACTAGACTTTGTTTATTTTCTCTCAAAATCTGTATCCGCGTTGCACGTTCCTCGCTAAACTTTTTCTCGCTCATTTCGAACTGAAATTTAACTTAAAGAAAGGCGTTACTGTGTGTGTGTGTGTGTGTGTGTGTGTGTGTGTGTGTGTGCCTTGCTCCGTTATTACTGGATACAGTATTTGCTAACGTTACTACCATGAGATTTTTTTTTTAAGATTGCCCCCGAGGGGGCTAGTTTATTGGGCACCCCCTTACATCCTGTGCAAGGTGAAGCGCATAAGCATTTACAGCGCCCATTTGGGAAGCATTTGCTTGCCTTTATGACTCATGCATTAAGGACGTAAAAGCCTGAAGGGTCATAGGTTTCGTCAGCAAGTTACATAAAGTGACAGAATGATGAGTGTATGGGGGGGAAAGTTCCGGTACATTTCATCTGTTTATGGCAAAGCGTGGCAGGTCCCTAATAATGTCAAGTGCCAGGCCTGTCACTAGGAGGAGGGATATCTGGTCAGGGAGGGAAGAGGTGTTGGTAACAGCTGGGGACCTATAGGAGGAGGTCATAGGGCAAGTGAGGATGTAGTGAGAGAGGGTGTGAGAGTCGGGTTGGCCACAAAGTTTACAAACAGTGCGGCCAGGCTCAGGGTTGCCAATGTACTCCCATAGGTACCTGGACCCTAGGCGCAGTCTCGTGTACATAATCTAACAAGGAGGAAGGTGTTTCTCGATATTAATGTGGCAGGTCAAAGGACATGAGCGAGGGCAATCTTATCTACTAAAGGAGCTTAATCGTAATTTGTTTACATACTCACGGTACATGATCCTTCTTATCGTCCATATTTTGTAGCAAGTTTTCCCTCTTTCACCAGGCTACCACGATCTCTCTCTCTCTCTCTCTCTCTCTCTCTCTCTCTCTCTCTCCTTTTATACTCATTTTATCCATTACCTGCTTTAGTGATTACCTTCCTCATGGTTTACAGGGGGTCTATAATTAACCAATAACATCTTCACAAAGGTTAAAGTACACGCTGGGAGTGGGGGAAGGCGTGTCCACTACCGAACAGTCATGAAGAATTTTACTGGCACACACACACACACACACACACACACACACAGTATTAAGGGGGAAGAGAGGAGGGGAGAACAAGACTTAAGAAACAACACTCAACTGGTAAAATTGTATATAATTAATACTAGTTCCTTAATCTTCACCTTTCTGGTTATTTCTTCACGTATTCTTTCCTCCTTGTCGTAGCCACACCGAGTCTCCCTTCCCCCTCCGGTGTTAATGGTAGTGGGAAGGTGATTTAGAGTCAGGGAGGGGAGAGGGGGAAGAAGGAGAGGTAATTAGAGATGGAGAGGACTCAGAGGAGGGTGATGGTTGGGGAGGATGGTGGGGAAGGCTTGGCTGGAGGACAAGGTGGAGGGGGGGGGGAGGAAAGACCTACCATCTTAACGTTGAAAGTTAATTTAAAAAAAACTCCCCCGACTTGAGAAACAACACTACATATCATCATTAAATACGGGGGGTGTCGACAGTGCCCTAACACGGAGGTTCTCAGACCAACTTGTGGGTTCTGTAGCTGGCTAGTATTGTGTATGTATGTTTACCCTGTACATGTACCTGTAACCTCTAGTTGTTTTTATAGCCTATAGCAAGAGACTTCATATAGTACCTGGTGTTTAAGGTATTGGAGAAATATGATTGGTTCTGAGGAGGGAAGGTGACTGTACAGGGTAAAGGTGATTGGTTAAGAGAAAGAGGAAAAAGTGACAGGTAGGGGTGGAGGGAGATAACTACACACCTACAGTACCAGTGAGACAGGTGTGAGAGGGGAAGGTGACAGGTGTGGTAAAGGGGTAAACACACAGGTGGGAGGTTATGATAAGAGTGAGAGTTATGGCTGAGGGAAGACCACTAAATGGGATGTGTGTGATGATGACTGGAATTAGAATAGAAGATAACAGGTGAGGTAAAGGTACGATAGATCACATAGAACAACATCGAAAAAGTAAAAATTATAAATGGTGAGGAAAAGGATAACGTTCGGGGTTGAGAAGTGAAGACAAGAATGACAAGTAAAATTGACGTGTGAGGTAAATATTGAGATATAACCAGTGACGTAGTTAGGATAAGGGGAACATCTCCTGAAGGTAGTATAGGGACTTACCTGGTGGGGGGCCTGAGTTGAGTACATAGTTGTCGTAGCACCTGAGGACACGCTGCTACACATTCCACATCTTTCTCCGTCTCCTCCTCCTCCTGTTCACGCATCTCAACTCTAACAGGTGGACGGGAAGACAGACATACACTCATATTAATATAGGCTGTTAACTAATCGGTAACACTGTAAAAAAATGCATTACAAATCCTGCTCCACAAATAAGCAATTGATTTCCTATAATTAAGTTAGGAACATCACCAAATTACCGAGAGTTGTTCTTTAATATTCTGTACATCTCTTCCTTTGGTATTCATTCTGTAGATGTACTAAACCTATAACAGTACACCTCTACACTTATGTACTACAGCGTGGTCTATGTAATGATCGTCTCTCTGATGTACTGTAACTCATTTTAGCTTTACAAGAAACAACAACTGTATTCTTAAGTTCCTTTCATCGATTAAGTGATCACATGTTGCCCGGTCGTAGAGTAGTTAAGTATTAAAATATATTAAATCGCTGCCTCGTTAGATAAATATTCAGACTCTGGCCAATGAGAGTATAATTATGAGGTGTGGTTGTCATATAGGATGATAGACCCATAGAGGGTGATAATGACGTAGATAGTGATAATGACGTAGTGGTAATGACGTAGTGATAATGACGTAGTGGTAATGACGTAGATAGTGATAATGACATAGAGAGTGATGATGACGTTGATAGTGATAATGGTGAGTGGCGAGGGGGAGAGATGAATGTGAACTTACCGACACAGTCTCCTGACGGGGCTGATCCTGACGAAGATATCCTGCTTGGAGTGGCCGCTCTCCTCCACCACGTCCTCCGTCATTCCTCCCCGCCACCGCTGCTGTTGTTAAATTCGCCTACTTCCTGCTGTCGCTTCTCCTGCTTCCTCCCGCCACCGCTGCTGTTGTTAAATTCGCCTACTTCCTGCTGTCGCTTCTCCTGCTTCCTCCTGTTAGAATTACTGTCGTTACACCTGCTACCTGCCGTTATTGTCGTTACACCTGCTTCCTGCTGTTATTGCTACTGGTGTTGGCGTTAGCTGTAGTCACGCTTCTTTTGTTGATTCTCCCTCAGCTGTTGTTGTTGGTGGTGGTGGTGGTGACGTGCCGAGGTAAGCTGAAGAAGAAGAAAGATTAAATAAAATAATATCATAATATATCATAATAACAACTAAACTATAATAGCTAATTTAAACTTTTCTTATTTAATCAAACTTTTACAAATGTACGAAACCAAACTGACACATTAGTATTTCCTGTAAAAAAAAATAAATAGCAGTTTGTTAGTTATTTCTTGCTTACGCTAATAGTCAGAGCCTATAACACGATATAGGAGGAAAAGAGGACAATAGATATTATATACTTAGTCTTTACGGTATTTAGCTTAATTCGATAAAGAGAGGAAAGGAGAAGATGGCAAAGGAAGATTATAGAAGGAATAGTGTGTGTGTGTGTGTGTGTGTGTGTGTGTGTGTGTGTTCGTCCTTGACACACATGGTTTACTACTGTACACATCCTGCTGCACCATAAACCCCCTTTCTCCCTTATTACTCTTAATGGTTTAATGCTGCTAATGGTACACTGAAGATGTAACCGTTACTTCAGTTAGACTTTTCTTAATACACCATGGAAGGTTCTAGAGTCGTGTATTGTGTATGTTCATGTGGTGTTTTTAGCTACCTGGTGTGTGTGTATTTCTGCATTTATACTCGTTGATGACTTGTGTGTTTAGTAATTTAGAAACATGTGCTTAAAGACCCTAGTTGTTGAAGTGTAGTTATACAATATAACATCCATGACTCAGTGTTGATAAAGTACATGGCGCAGTGAACGTGACGCAGCACATAATGACCTATACTAATTATCGCCAATTATCACGACCTGTGGGGGAGTTATTACCTGCAGCCTCTGTCTAATTGATGTGATTAGTACCAGGTAACATGATGCCGTCTGTGCGTCGGTCGATGTCGTGACAAAGTTGTCATCATATGGTCAAGTTATAATTTAGCAAAGTTGTTATGACGCGGGGAAGTTGTTATTATGTCGAAAAGTTGTTATCGCGTGAAGTTATCAGTATATAAAAGTTGTTATCATGTGGAAAAGTTATCATGTGGTAAACTTGTTGTCACGCCACAAAGTTGTTATCACGCCACAAAGTTGTTATCACGTGGGAAAGTTATTATCACCTGGGGAAGTTGTCATCACGTGGGAAAGTTATCAGTCTGTAAAAGTTATTATCACGGAAAAGTTATCATGTGGGAAAGTTTTTATCACGTGGGAAAGTTGTTATCACGCGGGAAAGTTATCATCATAGGCTAAAGTTACCTGCATTACCTGTCGACCTTAACAATCAGTATAATAGTCACAAGATCAACTTTTATTTACACAGACACGATATTGTAGGAACCACTAAGTTAACCCCTAAACTTAACAATCACCTTACATTATATAAACTAAAGACACTGATCGAATAGGCCAAAACTTCACTAATGTCAGAAGGTCACAGGCCAACATATTGTCTTGAGCTGAGATGTTCGCTTGGAAAATGGTAAT